AGCAAGCCAGTGCACCTCACAGCTTTCCTCGGCTACAAGGCTGGCATGACCCACATTGTCAGGGTTGCTGATAAGCCTGGATCAAGTGCGTATTTTTTTTTTTTACTCTTAGTTGAGTGGGTATTTGTTACTCCAGGGCCAGTCCCAAAACCAGGTTATCAAAATCTAATTGATCCTGCCTTTTACTAGTTAGGGGTGGGGGGTGGAAGGAGTAGGCTCCCTGTTCCCCTGTCATGCTAAATTATAGAAAAGCAACATCAAAAGCTCTTTAGTATTGTGTACGGTTTCCGAATAGATGTACAGAGGATGTTCTTAGTTTTCTTAAATGAGGCTGCAGCAACTCAATTATCTCATGATCTTTAATAATTGCAATTTATTTCTTTGAGTTGCTCTTTGTATCCTTTTCTGAACGAAGCTTTGGGATGGAGAATTGTAACGCTGGTGCCTTATTTCAGAGATCAACAGGAAAGAGGTGTTGGAAGCTGTGACCATCATTGAAACTCCCCCCATGGTCTGCGTTGGTGTCGTTGGTTACATCCAGACGCCACGTGGTCTGCGCGTGTTGAAGACCATTTGGGCCGAGCATTTGTCAGAGGAATGCAAGAGGAGATTCTACAAGAACTGGTAAGCATGTTTTATTTTGTATTTGGATATATGTAACTTTTGATCTGATTGGTGAATATAGTACATGATTATTATAGTATACGGATGAGTTACTGACCACAAACCCAAAATAAAGCGATCCTTTACTCCACTGGCATCCCTCTGGCCATGAGTTTGGGGTTGACTTGGGGTTCCCCTCCATTATCTTGTATGGCTGATGGGTATATATTTGGTCAAAGACGAGTAACCGATTCATCCTTAACACATGACTACCCATGAGGCATTCAGGCGAAGGAGGTCATAACCCTACATAAGAGCACCGTGTCTGAATGACAGGGCTCTTTGTGTGTGACGGGTCTCTGCCTCCAAGAGTTTGCTTGCGATAGAGGCCCTCACACTTTTCCCCCTCCTTGCTTAGGCATAAGTCCAAGAAGAAGGCTTTCACCAATGCTGCTCAGAAGTGGCAGGATTCCCTTGGCAAGAAAATGATCAAGAGGGAGATTGCCAAGATGAAGAAATACTGCACACACATCCGTATCATTGCCCACACCCAGGTATGTACAGGCTACGAAACATTTACTGAACAATTTTTAGAATTTGATTTTGGTAAGATCAGGATGTGTTTTTGGATTACAACTAATACTATGCTCCAACAGGTCAGAATCCTCCGCAAGAAGTTCAAGAAGGCCCACATCATGGAGATCCAGCTGAATGGTGGTACAGTTTCTGAGAAGGTTGACTGGGCAGTTTCCCACTTTGAGAAGCAGATCCCTCTTGACTCAGTCTTTGCCCAAGATGAGATGATTGATGTTATTGGTGTCACTAAGGGCAAGGGAATGAAGGGTGAGTAAGGAGACTTTAAAATGTAGTCTAAATCAAATTGTTTTGAGTAAGATATGACATGAAAACTTAAGCATCCTGACTGAATTCATTTTTCCCACCCCCTTCAGGTGTAACTTCTCGATGGGGCACAAAGAAGCTGCCCCGCAAGACCCACAAGGGTCTCCGTAAGGTTGCCTGTATTGGAGCTTGGCATCCTAGCCGTGTGCAGTTCACTGTTGCACGTGCTGGTCAGAAGGGTTACCACCATCGTACCGAGAGGAACAAGAAGATTTACCGTATCGGTAAGGGCATCCACACCAAGGATGGCAAGGTAAGAAAAAGGAAAATTGTTCTCTTGAATAAATCTCTTGTAATAGGATTGCTGGGATTTACATTTACATGCTTTGTCACTGGTTACTTAATTTTTTCTTCTCATTAAAGGTTATCAAGAACAATGCCTCCACTGATTACGACTTGACGGAGAAGACCATTACTCCCATGGGTGGTTTCCCCCACTATGGTGAAGTTAACCAAGACTTCATTATGCTGAAGGGTTGCACTGCTGGCCCCAGGAAGAGGGTGCTGTGCATGAGGAAGTGCCTGTATCCCCAGACCAAGCGTTCTGCCATGGAGAAGATTGACTTGCAATTCATTGATACCAGCAGCAAGTATGGTCACTCCTGCTTCCAGACCAGTGCCGAGAAGTCTGCCTTTATGGGTCCCCTCAAGAAGGACAAGGCGAAGAAACTGGCTGCTGCCCAGAAGAGTTAATTGCTTGCAGAATAAACTTGGAAGTGGAATGCAGTATTTTATTTTACCAATTCTATATTTTCACACCAGTACCTAAATACATATGCTTGCTTTTGGGTGGAATATTGCTTCATGGTTGTACTTGAAAACCTATATAAAGTTAAAGGGAAATGTACAAGAACAAATGAAACTACCAATTTTAGTCCTATTTGGCCTCTCTCAAAAGCTATCATACTTTGAACATTTGGCATTTTTGCCAGTGGTTATCTAGACCATTTGAAACTTCAAGATTGGCATGTATGTTACCAGTGATGTCCATAGTCGC